GCGCCCACGTGCCTTCCCGCATCTGTTCAGCTTGCACGTCCACCGTGTACACTCGTGGGTGTGCCCCCACGTGCCTTCCCGCATCTGTTGAGCTTGCACGTCCACGTGTGTACGCTCGTGGGTGTGCCCCCATGTGCCTTCCCCCATCTGTTCAGCTTGCACGTCCACCGTGTACGCTTGTGGGTGTTGACGGTTACTACTGTTACAGAAGGAGTGTGTGTGACAGTAATCACTGTGTTGTCTGTTACTCTTGGTCACGTCCAGTGTCTTTGCTCCTGTTATGCTGCCTCCCTCTCTCTGATTTTCTCTGGGTGGTCTTGAGCCTTCAGCCTTTCAGTCGGCAGCCAGGTGTGTTCACCCCTGCATTGCCCAGGGACTGCTGCTAATCCCTAAAACCAGAACCAAGCCATTGTTGTCGAGTTGATGCTGACTCCCAGCAACCTCAGGGAGACACTCATGCTCCAGCTGTGGTGTCTCTCACCCAGCGTTTGGTAGAAAGTGGCCCAGTGGTGACAGGAGAACAGTGTGTGTTCTCAGATCCTCTTGGTTGGTGTCTTGGTCTTCTTGTGCTGCTCTGACAGGAAGGACCACGAGTGGCTCGAGCAAGCGGTTTAGGAGGCTTCACGTCCGAGTTCAGAGTGCCAGCTCTAGGGGCTGGGTGAAGGCCCCTTGACCTTGGGCTTCAGTCCTGCCTCTTGCTCTGAGCCCACTGCAGTCGGAGGCTTCTCTTAGACAGCCGCTGGCTGCTGAGGCTGACAGACCCAAAATTGGCAAGTAAAATGGCATAGTCCCAAGATTGCTAAGCACAGGGCAGGCCACTAGTTCAAGTCCAGAAACAGCCTCAAGATCGGCAGACAACATGGCAGGTCACTGAGGTGACCTGGCTACATGCAGGTTCCAAGCGTGCCAGAGAGCTTAGAGACCTTTCTCAAAGCTTCTCCCTACATACGGGAAGCAGCCCACATCCCTAAGGCAGCTACCCAGCTGCTCCAGTAGATTCCACCGTGGAGGTGATGACCAGTCTCATCACGGGGAACACTACGTCCAGCTGCCCAGCCACTCAGCCAGGCCCAGCTGCGTTCACACATAACCTTAGCTACCACGGTTGCAAATCACAGTAGTAGAACTGTTGGAGGGAAATGTGCTCGTAGATAGAGAACTTTAAATGTGTGTCCTCCTTGACTCAGCAAATTCCCGTCTATTGTATAAAACGCGCTGCATGCGCACAAACACAATTCCACAATTCAGCAGAGCTTTGCTTGTAAAACTGAAATTGGAAACAGTTAAAAATAATGCTGAAAACCATTTCCCAGGCTGCCTTTCTACACAGGTGCAAGTAGTTTTCCACAAGGACACCTGTGGATTTCCGGGTGTGTGTATTTCAGACGTGAACAGACGCTGCTGAACTGCCTTTCTTCCAAAAAGGCGGTGCTGGTCCGTGTTGGGGGAGGGCTTTGGGTGCTTCCCCCACGGTGGGTACCAGGGCACTGTCAGTTGTCCTGATTTTGCTAAGTTTATGGATGAGAAAAGGGCATCTGGTTGCTGTTTGAATCTGCATTTTCCAGATTACGAACGAGGGTGGGAACGTTGCGTGTTTGCCGCTTGTCTGTTTCCTTCTGTGACCCTGTGGAGTTCTCAGGTGTTCTCTGTGGTGGTGGCCCTGGGGCAGTCACCTGTCGCCGTCTTTGTCGTGCACGTTGGCAGCACCGTGACGGCTTCTCGGTGAACGCCTGTGGGCACCTGGAGCTCCCCGGCCGGCCCTCGAGCTTGCACTTCCGGAGCGCTTGCACGTGGGCGGGCTGCGTTGAGCTGCTCCTGGCGCGGTGTGGCTGCAGGTGGAGGCCCTGTCCCAGGCAGGATCACGGGATTGGTGGCATTTGGCTGCGTGAGGTCGGAGGTGTTGCCGTGTGGCGGGCTGTGGGGCGCCCTCAAGGCGCTTCCACCTTACCCTGCCCCCCCATCACAGCCCAGAGCCGTTTTGTGGGTGTTCTTGTTTGTTGTCTTAATGGAAGCACGTTGCCAGGCCTTGCTCCCGCGGTATTGCTGGCTGGGTTAGAACCACTGACCCTTAGGTTAGCAGTCAAGCATGAGCCATTTGGGGCCTTTGTGTGTGGTGCGGGCGACTTCCTCTGCCATGGATTCTCTCGCTGGTGTACTCTGCTCATTCCTGGCCTGAGGTTTTGTCGTTTTTATCAACATATTCAGTTTTCCAACAAAGATATTCCAAAACTCAACTGCCATCGAGTCAGATCCAACTCCTAGTAACCCCCCCTTGGTTTCCCAAGTGGTAAATCGATGGAAGTGGATTGCCCAGCCTTCCTTCCGAGGAGTGACTGGTGGGTTTGAACTGCCAGCCTTCTGGTTAGTGGTCACATGCCTTAGGCAGGACCACACCAGAGCTCCGAACAAAGATATTAACCTTCATAAATCCTGTTAGCTGAGAATACTCCCCATTTCATTGCGTATTTTCTATTAAAAGTAAAAGTTTTATTAGAAACTGACAATAGGAAATGCACAAATGGGTGTGGGCAGCTTGCTTTGGTGGGAGGCGGGCAGCATGCGCTCCCCCAGCAGCCCGGCTGGCCTGGTGCTCCGGGTGGGCCTGGGCCCCACGGGGTAGGGCCTGGGCCCCATGGCGTAGGGCCTGGTGCTCCGGGTGGGCCTGGGCCCCATGGTGTAGGGCCTGGGTGCCAGGGCTGGGAGAGAGTGAGTGTGTGTGTGTGTGTGTGTGTGTGAGAGAGAGAGACCCTGAGCACCATGCTGAGGCGGGGTGGGTGTGTGACCTCGCCCCTCCCCCCGCAGGCACCCTGAGCGCCATGTCTCGCTGAAGCGCGGGGGCTCAGTGCTGAACATGCTAAAGAGGCTGGACAGAATCCGGTTCAGAGGTCACAAGAGAGACGACTTCCCCGACCTGGCGGAGTCCCCCAACGCCTCGGACACCGAATGTGGGGACGAGATTCCCCTGAAGGCCCCTCGGACCACGTCGCCCCGCGACAGCGAGGAGCTGAGGGACCCGGTGAGTGCTGTGCGCCTGCCGCTCTGCCTGGCCTTGGCCAGTCCCTCGGTGGGGTGGGGGCTGTCCCCTCAGGCTCCGGACCCCCTCCCTCTGATGGGGGTGGGGTGGGGGCTGTCCCCTCAGGCTCCGGACCCCCTCCCTC